GGGCGGCGCGCAGGGCCCGGCGCCGCCCGCCCGGGTTTTGCTCCGAGATCCCCGTTGGTCGCGGCCTGCCGGGGCCGGGCCCCCTCGCTCCGGGCAGGGCCGGGCCCCCTGCGAGGAGAAGCGCCTGTGTGGGTAAATGTCTGGCTCTAGCTACGGTCGCAAAGCGGCAGCTTCTGGGACATGCCATTGTCCTTTTTTTATTTTTTTTTTTTTTTTGTGTGTTGGGAATTGCTTATTACTTCTTAAATCACATCATAACTATTGTATTTTATTTTATTTTTATATTTTGCTGCTAACCCGGTTCGCCCACTTAAAGGGCATTTAATGTTTTACGTAACACTCCGAACCAGGAAAATGCTCAGGCAGTATTACCCAACTGGTTATATCAGTTTTCTTTTTCTTTTTTTTTTCCTTTGGACTCTATGAGGTAAGAGGATAAAAGCTTTGTCTAAAGATTTGTGCAACGCTTTCTTGGAGTCTATATTGTACTTTTATGGAACGGTTAAAAAGAATTACTTTAATCACTTGCGCTTTTTTGATAGTTTCTAACAATGTCTTGCATTTGTGAGGTGCATTGAATCCTCAGAGTTGCCAAAACAGCCTTTCAGCAGGGCTCTTATCCTGGAAGCAGCGACTGTAACACAGGCGTACGTAGCAGAATCCCAGTTAATGAAATGAGGCCAGGCAAGGGCATGTTGCTCTGTAAGGCAAGCGGCTGATTTTGCAAGTGATCACGCAGACTTCTATGTTGGGACCGCTTCGTGGTAGTACTAAAAAGCGGGCACCTGATGCTGTACAGGTTACGGGAAGTGAAAAGATGAACTCAGAAATACATTTCCGAGGTGTTAAAATGTAACATGTTTGGGGGACAGAATAGAGTAAAAAGGTAGTGAGAGATAAACGTGTATTTAATGATTAACAGTTGGACTTCAGTCCTGTGTTTGCTAAGAACATCTGAAAATTACTGTCAAGAAGTAAACGTACTTTCTTCTAGGCACTGTCGACAATTATCAACTAGGGTTACCTGTTTGTTGTACTTGAAGTCCGGGCAATTGTAATAGGTTAAGAATCAGATTTTTGTTAAATTTATGAGTGGGTGTATTTATATAAATGCTGAGTAATATATTTAGATTTAGATGGAATTTCTAATGTTGATATTCCTGTTATAAAATTTGTTGTATGTGTCTGAAAATTACATCGTCACTGTAGTGATAAGAAAAATAACCTGACAAGTTTTCCTTTTGATTGAAACGGCAAAAAGTTCAGAAACTAAATCAGAACTTGTTTCAGAAACAAACTAGATTTGCATTATTTCAATTTCAGTAATCCTAAATAAAGTAAGATTCGTTAGGAAAGAAATATGGAAAAGTGTCTTTCTAGTGGAAATTTTACAGTACAAACTTTCACAGTAGCCATTCGGCTCGCATTTTCCTGGTGTGCAGTTGCTCGCACTAGATTTATAGATTCGTTTTTTAAAGTATTTGAGTAAAATTTCTTTCTTACTGCCTGTTAGTGAGATTTATACGCAGTATTTACACACAGTACATAGACCTTACCAGTTTCCTGCACTTACTTCTTTCGTGGGCCTCCTGTGCTCTCAGTTGTCATGAAACATTCAGGTCCCAGCGTGCCATCTGCTTCTCGGAGGTCCGGTCTCACCGTCTCTTTTAGCCATGCTTATTCTTTAGGTAACTCGGTGGGATTTGTGCTGGATCCCTAAACATGTGTCTTCACTTCCATGTCTTCTTCATGCTCCACCAGACTTTTTTCATTTAGGAAGACTACTTGAAAATGGGCTCTCTGGTTTTTAACCATTCATCTGTTGCCACTCTTGGTTCTTGGATGTAGTAAATATCAGCGATTCAGTCCTTTTCAGAACAACCTGTTGGGATATCATAGGGGTCATGATTTAGAGGAAATAAACAGCTAATATAGATGGCTTTTAAGTAACAAAGATACTGTTTTCCTTTAAATATCTGGAAAGCAAGGAAGCAAGAAAGAAAAAAGGCCTTTGAATGCTTGCAGTTAGATCACAGCTGATTTTTATATCCTTTCACTCGTTTTCTTGGCTACTCATCATGCGTCTAGGGTTGATTTGGAGACCTGATCTAAAGGACAAGGGTTTAGCAAGCCTGGACTGGCATCTCTAAATTCTGTTTACTTAACCCCAAAAGTCATGTTGTATCCCAGTGTACTCACAGTCTTCCTTCTGAACTCTAAATCAAAATGAAAATGGGGTTGGTTTGGCCTGTTGTGTTGGTCGGTTTGGTTTTTTTTGGTTTTTTTTTTAGTTTGTGGTTTGCTTGTGGTTTGGGGTTTTTTTCCCCCTAAAAAGTTTTGTCTCAGAGTTTAAGTAGTTGAAGTGACATTTGAACAATTTTGAGCTTGTTCTGCACTGGGAATAAGTTGAATTTGCAGTTAAACTTCTGCTTTAGGATTCACAGGCTGTGGTGACAAGGGACACAATATATGATTCTCGAATGTAAGTTTGCTCACTGGGTGCTGTTTCACACTTGCTTCTTTGTATGTGCGCAGCGTGATTTGCAGGTGAACGGACCCCAAAGCGCTTGTTACAGACCTAGTTATGTTAAACGGTGTTCCGCGGACAAAAGCAAATGTTTGAGAAGGCTTTTCAGAATAAGATTGATTATTTTTATTATTGTGTTTTGATATATTTTCGATACTTTAAATTGGTTATATCCTAATAGGTCATCGGGCCCAATCAGCCTATGGAGAAATAATTAGGAGAGGCTCCCAGTACAGACGAAGGAATGACCACCTTCTAGGAGAGTAGCTTCAGTGCCTGCTGCGTTACATCATCTTGGTCTTTCTTCTGTCTCAGCCATCTTTACTCCGTTACATTACTGATATTCCTATGGATTTCTCTATCATCTTTCTTCATAACTTAATGATTTATTTTTCGTAGTTACTAAAAGCTAAGGGTTTTTTAAGTAGGTTGTGTGGAGATACAGATTTTATCTTTTTGATGAGTCTCCACATTTCTGGTGTTAAATGTATGGAATGTAATTTGGAAAAAAGGACCTTTTTTCCCACATTGGTTTTAGAAATTAATTTATTTGCCTCTTCTACATGTTCTCCTTGTGTTATATGCCCAGATATGAGCCAGACATTTCTTGTGCCCATTCCATAAAATGATGCTGGTGGTTTTTACAATGTGTTGAACTCCTTGGTTTTAAGGAGGTTTTCTTGATGCTGATATCAATTCCCAGCAAATATATATAGGTTCGAGTTGGTAAGTTTTCAAGCATTAAACTACTGAGCAAGATAGGCTGAAGATTCTGGTAGTAAGGATGTGTGAAAATCGCAAGCGTCTTTAGCGTATAGTTTGTGGGCTGGCAGCATTTCCATCTGCCTCGAACTGACATGAATTTTAATTTTGTACCATAAACTGTGTTGCTGCTGAGTGTAAATGAAGTCATGGTGTGAAATGCTAAGAGTCAGCAGTGCTGAAAGCAATGTACGTTAAAGTACAGCATCTGTGAATACAAAGCTGCCCTTCTGGGACACCGTGCAAAGTGATGTAACTGAGTGAAAAAGCTCTGCAAAAATACATTTCGCTCACTGGAATTGAGTGTCTTCGCAGCAACACCTTCACGAGGCTTGAGCGTGATGCTTTCTTGACCGTGCAGTGGGATCGTATTGTATGAAAAAAGCTGTTGACAATAACAGCTAGAGATACTGAGGTTTTATTTTGCTGCCCTGCACCTGTGCTTCAGCACTGCTACAAAGAGGGAACGCTAAGGAAAGCCTTTAATGCTTGTGGGGTAAGTTTGCAAAGAAATTAGCTTCTGAAAAATTCAGGCTGCCCTTTTAAAATGCTTAACTGTTTGTACACTTGCAAAAAAGTTCAGATAATCACCTGTTTCTTTCTCACAACCTTACCTAAGTATTCACATCCCTGCACCAGCAACATGATGTCAGAGTTTCATGAAAAGCACAGTGGAATATTTTAAACATTTTTGGTTTGGTGAATTAATTTCTGTAACTGCTGAAACTCTCTTAGTTCTTGGACTAAAATTCTTGTACTGGTAAAAGTGTTTGTTTCTGCAAGTGTAAATGCCTTGTGCTGAGTCTCAAAGTTTTGGGTACTGTGGAATTTGCATATCAAGGAATTAGCCTGTAGAGGTTGTCGCTACTGAAATAAAATAAGTGGTGTTCTTTGATATGATGATGTTAATGAGAGGTGAAAGCACGTAAGGAAAATTAAAGCACATTAAAGTAAGATTTTTAGTACTTCTGCATTACTACTAGATTAGAAATGTTTGATAGCCATATCAACACACTGCTGTGATACCAGCCATATACTGCTGATGAAACAAATCAAGTACTAAGCCACCTTTGCTTGCCATTGTTATCATTAAAGTTCCAAACTAAGGAAGATTGAACTTAAAGCCATGCATTAAGTCAGCCTGTCCAAACTGTAAATTGCTTCATGATTAAATCCTATTTCAGACTGTACTCACGGTTATAACTTGCACTGAATTTTTGGAAGAGCACGTATGACTAGGTGAGCTCATTCTTCTCATAGCAAATGGCGTTTATGAGAAAATACGACGGTTTTGTTTTGGCTGTGGCTCTCAGTTGCTTATCAGTAACTTTAAAATACAGGTCACGTATCTGCCAGGTCATACTCCAGGACTTTAAAGTAGCTTAGTTTCTAAAAAAAAGATCACTCTTAGCTATGTTAAACAAAAACCGTCAACAATAGGATTCAAGTGCTTCTTAGATAAATCACTGCCAGTTTGGAACAGGAGAAGAATGCAATGTTATAATGTCAAGAAGTTGTTTGGTTTGTTGTTTTTTTTTTTTTCCTCCCTTTCTCACTGCTAGGATTCCAACAGGAAAATTTTCTTGACCTTGTATCTGGGTAGCTCTTGAGGATGGCAAGCAAAGGACCCGCGACTTCTGCATCAACAAAGAACTCCAGTACTGGAGGGACCAGTGGCAGCAGTAGCAGTAATGGTGCTGGGGACAATGCTAATCAGGACAACACTTTCGAATGCAACATCTGTTTAGACACTGCCAAGGATGCAGTTATCAGCTTGTGTGGACATCTCTTCTGGTAAGTACTCAAGCCCCCACGGATAAACCAGAACACCGTATATCTCTCTGATCACATGAAAGCCTATGATTTTTATAATTCTAGGTGTCAAATAAAATGTCTTGTATAAAATTAGTAAGGACATGCTTTTGGTTTAGGAGCAGTTTGGTTTTGCTCCTCAACTGCTTTTCTTTGCTCATGTCCGAGGGAGTGGGTTTCTTGCATCTTAAACTTCCTATGCTTCTGGATTGTTTTGTAAAAGCAAACCAACAAGCGGCCCCACACAGACAGTTCAGTGTTCATTGATACTGCCTGGTTGCGTGTGTTGTTTTATTTGTGCTGTCTGGTCTAGCGTAGATATCTTGTTCAGACCTAAATTCCTTTCTAACCTGTGCATACCTAAACCTGCATCTGAAATGAGGTTCTGGAGGCCAAATTGTAGTTTTCATACTTCCTACAAGCTTGCTCTTTTTTTCTTTGAAACCATAAAAAAAAAAATAGATAACAAGCTTTTACATGTGGGCTATTTCTCTTTTTCCCATGGTATTGCAGTTGTAATACGAACTTTTCAGTTTTGATCTGACTTGGGAATGTATCGCACAAGTATAATAAGCGTGCAGCGTTTCTTATTTGGGTAACTTGGTCTAGAATATACTCTTTCTTGAATGTTAAGAAGTTATTAAGGATTGACATGGCCAAATGTTTTGGGGTTTTTTTGGTTTATTTTATACAGTAGGCTAAATTATGCTCTTTAATAAAAAGAGGCCTAAAAGAGCATTTCTCTTCTGTGTAAATGTAAGTAACATCTGAAAATCCCGGTTTTTATTCTAGGAGGAGACGGGAAATCACTTGTTGATGGCATACTATGATAAAATTAGATTAAATTATTGCACAAAATGATTTGGAAGAATGGAACCTGAAAAATAGCATGTATCTTGTCTGAATAGTGTTGCCGAGACCACTTTGAAAGCAGATGGCTGCTTAGCAGTTTTATCTCATAGCTTGCTTCTTTGTCTTTGACCTTGTTTAAGTTCCCATATTAATTTCATCTTAAGAGTAGTTCTGTATAATGGGAATTTCTCTGCCCTGAGCAACGGGGTCTGATCTCAATAGCTGACCCTGCTCTGAGCGTCAGGTTGGACTAGAGGCCTCCTGAGGTACTGTCCAGCTCGAATTATTCCATGATTCTGTGAATGTGGCCGATGTTTTAGCTGAATGTCCCTTGCGTGACTTCTTCTAAGATCCTGAAGTCTCATTACTGACATCTTCCTCACTTGCGTCTTAGCTCAGGGATATCTTTTCATGGTATCAGAAGAGAAAATCTGTACAGTAAACACTAAGATTAATTAAGCCTCTGCATGGGCCTCTGGTACAGATGAGGACCCAGGAATCAAAGGTGATATGCAGAGAATCACGTTAGCAACTTAGTTAAATTGCATAACCTGAAAAGACCAATGGAGATCGGTCTCGGGCTGTGCTTTCAAAAATTATCTTAATGGGAGGTTATGGAACTGGCCCAGCTGGATTCCAGGATTCTGTTGGCTCCAAGCTGTGCTATTCGTGGTACACTTTATACATTTGTCGGATCGAGTTGTCAGTAACTAATTCTATTTTCCCCTCTTTTTCTGCTCTGTGAACAAATTGTCCTGGGAATGCTCACAGTTGGCCTTGTTTACACCAGGTAAGACAGGTTTCCTTTTACTTTGTCTTTCATCAGCTCCTGTTACTCAATAAAGCCCTTGGTTCTCTGGAGTATCCCCCTCTTTTCAAACGCGCTTCTTTCTCTCCAGGGCAACCGCAGTGTGCTAATGCACCTTCATGCGCAACACCTTGCAATCTGCTCTTTCAGCAAAAAGAAAACTTAGATTCTGTTCCACTTGCCTCCCACTCCTGAGTTTCTTAAACACCGAGTATTCCCAGTTTGGGTAGGAGAATTGCGGTAGGCAGTGCACAGGGGTTTAGTTTGCAGGCTTAAGTGCCGAGTGTACTTCTCGTTGCGTATGTAGTGTTTTACACTGTGGTACAATTACAGAAAAGACAGATGAAAGGAGGGTATTTACACTAGCCCTTGGCCTATGCAGGACTGTTGGTATGTTTATTTCTTCATATTTTACTCCAGTGCAGTTCTGAATGTGTACACATCAGCAAGTGGATCGTAGCAGAACAGTAGCCAAAATGCCAACACTTTGGAGAGTACTTGGCATTTATTAAAATGTTTTGCTCCATGGCTTTCTGAGAAATTGCTAAAGGCTCTCTGCCTGGCTGCAAATGAGGCTTGCACGTTGTTGTTTTCATAGTCTTTTACCAGTTTCCTTATAATTTCCTTTCTTTTAGTGGCTAGAGACCAGGCCAAACAGACAAGTGTGTCCTGTATGCAAAGCAGGAATCAGTCGAGATAAAGTTATTCCTCTGTATGGAAGAGGTAGCACTGGGCAACAGGATCCCAGGTAAGAAACTTAAATACAACTACTTTTCTGTGAAAACTAAAGATGAAACTTTAGTTTAAAGTCTTAAGATGAAACTGCCAAAGTGCTGGATTCGCAATTTGAGATACTTTGTCAGAAGACACATAGAACTGACATTTCTGCCAAATATTTCTGGCTTTTTCAGGGCCTGGGTTTGCACACCTCGTTTCTTGTTCAACTGGCAATTTGTTTTAATTTGAATTGGGTGTTAATTATCAGTTGCAACTGGCAGGTTGCAATGAATGTTATCTGACTGGAGAAGCTTACGTAAAATGTTCATGTCCTCAGTTTCTAGCCTTGCAATGGGACTCTTATTCAAAAGCGTGGTATCTTAACTCCGCGGTGTGATGCTGAAGGTTCATATAGCCGGGTGGTTTACTCGCTCGCACATGGCCCCCGGCTCTGCTGCAGCGTGGCCCTGTGAGAGCATGCTCTGTCTGTCTTATTAGCCAGGCTATTGCAGATGCTATTGTCACGTATCCTTGCACTTGACCCAATTTCACAACTTCCTGCAGAGAGAAAACTCCGCCGCGACCCCAAGGACAGAGACCTGAACCAGAGAACAGAGGGGTAAGTGGAAAAACAAGCTCGAGCAGATAAGTTGTTTTTATTGATGGTGGTATTTATTCATCCTGGAGGACGTAACGTGTGCATGAGCTCCTGTGTGAGGATCCTATAGCTTACATTTCTTGCTCATCCCCAGCAGGTTGTTTGTGAATAATTGATAGCTGCTGTGTGGCAGAAAGCTCCATTCCTATAGCACTCTTTAGCATCCCAAAGAATGGGCTAACTCGAATCATGCTTCATGAAAACAGCCCCGTGTGGCATCACTGGAAGTGCTCTTCCTGATTGTTCTCCATACATAAATACAAGGAAGACTTTGCTTTGAAAATTCTTTGTGGAAGTATATTTCCATCAAACTATGCCTGTCATGGAAACATATAATCCATGTGTGAACTTACTTTTTTGGCACAGACAGCTGCTTGCAGCATCTCTGTGGAATATTCCTGTACAGAGAATGTAGGTAACTGTTGGATACGTGTTAATTTGAAGAGGGATCTGTGGTTTTGTTGAGGAGGTTACATAGAGCGAATGTAAACAGCAGCTGGTACAGCTTGAACAGACGTGGGAGTAGGACAGACCACAGTGTTATTTAGCGCGACGGCAGTGAGCGTGACCTGATGAAACAACGGCATATTTCTGCGTAACTTGGCCTAGGGTCCTCGGAGAGCATTTGTGTACCTCGTGCTTCAAGCAAACAACTCTGCTGGGTGTGATTAAGGAGCATTTCTCTCTTGAATGTATTGGGAGCTCAGTTGTTCTCTCTCACTGGGGAGTTGCGTTCTTATTAAATCAGTTGCCGTACTCTGCTTGAACCTTTTAGCTGGTGCTGCCGAAACTCAGAGGACTCTGGTATGAAGACACAGCAGTAGTGATGCTGCCCTCCTGTTTCCTACAGGTGCAGGACCTGCCACGCAGAGTGCTTTGCTGTCCCTGATAGTTAATGGCAAAACACTTGAGAAGAGTCATAGTCAAAAAACTAACTCCTCAAATCAAGGATCAAGCCAGAAATGTTTGGCTTATATTATACGAGTGAAATCATCTTTGTCCTCCCACTGTTTGGAGGTGATAGACCAGAGGGTTTTTCAGAATTGGTATCACTGTTTTAATTCTGAGACCAGAGGACAGTCTGCTGGATTACAGAACGTGGCGACTGCGAGCTCTCCACGGTTTTTAAACATGATGCAACTGCTGAGATTCATATACAGGTGGTTCTCAAATAGTACACTGCTTTTATACAGTAGGATTCATCTTGATTCAGAAGCCTTTTGACTTGATGTGGAATTTTAGTCTGGATCCCATAGGGGTCAATGTTGTTGCATTGTAACTCTTCCTTTTTTCCTCCTTCCCTTATGTCTTG